GTCCGTCCGTCCCCCGCCCCCACGATCAAGTGTGTCCGGTATTTTGGGGGGTCCTACCTGGGTATTTTGGGGAGTCCTAACTGGTAACCCTACCTACATGGCACCCAGACACAGGAGCCAAAAACTGGACTGTCTGGGTAAAACCCAGAAGAGGGCAACCCTAAGCCGTAGGCACGTGTATTTCATATGGTATATGCTATGCGTTATTGTAACATACACACATCTTCTGGGTGTGGTGTACTGCACTATTTAGTGGCACAGAAACCACTTACAGAGAGAATAATGCATCTTTTCCACAGCCTTAGCAGAGAGCCAGCTCACTTTTAGCTCATATGGTAGAAACCCATGCACTCAATTCCAGATGTCCCAGGTTTCACTTCACTTGCAGGTGACAGGAGTCTGCCAATGCTACATTATTAAAGAGACTATGATATGTTTTATATGGAAACAAACATATTTTTAAAAGGAAGCCAACTGCCCCAGTTTTGAAAAAATCAGAACCAGCCCTTAAAAGTAAAAAACTGTTGGAAAAAAGAGTCAGCTATAAAAGAATTATTATATCCATAAAAGCCATCTCCTAACAAAGCCAGAAATCATTTTGTCAAAACAAATGGTGACCTGACAGCATTGATTTCTGCAGTGGGAGGCAGTGGTTAGCTCAGCATAAAAGTGTTGCTAACTGGACTTCAGTTCCAGTAGTCAAAGTGTATTAGCTTCTGTGAAGGATTTATGGCACTTCAAAGGATTTTTTAAAACAACCACAGTGAGCTACTTAGCAATAATAATAAAGTTGCCATAATTTGTACTTTCACAATTAATACTGTCATTTTCTCTATATCAAAGCAAACATTGGTAACGGCTAATCTGATTAAAATTAAAAAGAAAAACAAATTGAAGATTACAACTCTCTATAGCTCAAAAATTTACAGGGAAGTCTTTCATCAACTGAGGGGACAGGATGTGTATGAGGCCTTAACAGTTTTAGAAAACAAATGTATTTTTATTTATTTTATATTAAGATTTATTACGTTTGGATAGGAGGATAAAGAGAAATCGAGCAACTAGTATTAAAATCTATTGTTCTTACAGTTAGGGCCTAGTCTTATAGAGATTTACATGTGTGCTTAACTTTACACATTGTGAGTGATGTGAAGTGCCACTGACCTTAATTAGAGATGTAAATGGGTAACCGGTTACCGGGTAAGCATAACCCTTTTGGGAAATTAAAGGTTAACCAGGTAATCCGTTAACCAGTAAGCATGTGCCTTACTGGCATGCTAACCAACTAACTGGTTAACTGGAGCTTCTTCTGCCCATGACACCCCAACTGGCAGGCCGCAGCAGACCTGGAGCAGCCCGTCGTCCACAGTAGGGACAGAAAAGCCCCCACCGCCTGCGACGGCGAATAAGCAGATCCAGCTGCCCAAGGCTGTGGCAAGGGGGGGCTGGAGTAAACCACCGGCTGAGGGCAGCAGGGACAAGGCTGTGGCAAGGGGGGGCTGGAGTAGTCCCTGCTGCCCTCAGCCGGTGGTTAACCAGTTGAATGATTTGTTTAACCGGTTAACTATTCTGGTTGGTTTTTATATCCCTATCACCCTTACCGGGTGATGCTTACCAACAACCGGTTAACCGGCACCCGGCCTGTCCAGAGCAGCCTTCCACCCATGGTGTGGTGGGCTACTCCAGTGGTTCCCGCCTCCCCGCCCCCAACAGCACGATGCAGCAGGTCAGATAATGGGTTAAACAGATAGTTCAACCAGTTAACATTTTAAATGGGATTTTACATCCCTAACCTTAATGGTACTTAGGGTTGCCAGCCCTCCCAGTTTCGCCAGAAGTCTCCCAGAATCATTCCCGATCTCCCAGAAGCTACCTCAGCAAAACCGGGACATTTCGGTCTAACAGTCCAGCATGACAGTGAAGCAAAAGCAGTCTTACTTACTTACTTCCACTCTGCACTGCTCTTGGAAGTGGCCAGTGCCATCCCTGAAGCCCTTGGGAGGGAATCAGGGAGTCTCCGCATGCTGCCTCTGCACAGAGCTGCGGGGGCTGTGCCTGTGGGCAGCAGAGCATGAGACCTCCCTGCCCCCCATGCATAGGAGAAGCTTCTGCCAGAGGGATGTACTTTCAAGAGCCACACCGCTGACCCCCCCTGCTACTCTCCTGCACCCCAATCCCTTGCCCCAGACTACATCCTGCATCCCACACCCAAACTCCCTCTGAGAGCCCAGCTCCTACCCACTCCCATACTCAAATTCCCTTCCAGAGCCTGATCCTTCTCTCACAGAAACTCCCTCCTAGAGCCCACACCTCCTCCTGCACCCCAACTATCTGCCCCAGCCTGGTGAATATGAGTGAGGGTGGAGGAGACAGAGGCAGGAGGGATAAAGTGAGTGGGGGTGGGGCTTCAGAGAAGGGGCGAGACAGAGACAGGCAAGGGTCTTGGGTTTGCACAACTGGACAGCTGGCAACCCTAATAAGACTTTGCAAAGATGCAAGTGTGGAGGGGCGACAGGCAAGGGTCTTGGGTTTGCACAATTGGACAGCTGGCAACCCTAATGAGACTTTGCAAAGATGCAGGTGTGGAGGGGAGTCACACTAGTACATTTGGAAACAAGAGTAGAGTGAGTCAGAGGGATTCAATGAAAACATATGCACATTTAATATATATTATGTGATTTTTAAAATGAAATGTATTAACTACACGGTTTCTTAAATTTGGTAAATTTCTTGTAGCCATCACAAAAGAAATGCATCTTACGGAGGAATTTGAAGGTGGAGAACGTAATAAGCTTGTCTGAAAATGGTTGTCAACTGCGGTACAACAGTATGTAATATTTTGAATTTGATTATTTTGTTTATATCACAGAAATACATTCTTTTTTCCACTTTTAAATAAAATGACAGTGTTCCGTAAGAAGGATAGGTCAGATTCATCCCTTGATTTACACCAGGGCTCTATTAGGTGCCATTTATTTACAAAAGTCATTTATTTCTATTAATAAGAATATATTTGATTAGTGAAACAGAGCATCTTTTCACAGACGCGCCTCCCTATTTCTTCTGTTAGTTTAGGAAGGAGAATGGAATTAGGTCAATTTCTGTGCTGTTGCTTGTCAGTTTCATTTTCTAGTTCCAGTGTGCTACGAGAATGCAACAACACTAGAGTTTCAGGGAATAGTTCCAACTCAAACAATTAACTTTTAAAATTAAAAAACAAAGCATGCACAAATTGTGAAGATATTTTAATTAATATCAGGATATTTACAATATTTATTTTTTTAAACAAAAACCTAGCCTACATGGTTGATTCTGCCCTCGTTTCTATTCCATTCTAAGTTCCTATTCTGCCTTCCTCACCATAATGAGTATTCTCAAGAAATGACTACCATCTATCATGGGCTGTTCAACCTCTCATTCATCCTTTCACATAGGGAATAATGGGGCCCAATCCTGCAACTATTTTTATGTGCTTAGTCTGGCCACTATGAGTAGTTCCACTGAAGGCAATGGGACTATAAAAAGTCAAGCACAAGCTTAAATCTTTGCTGGATTGGGACCTTATATGCATACATATATTTACTGACTGTAATAGTCTCATTGATTTGTCATTAAGCATGAGCAGAACTGTTTTCAGGATCAAGCTCTGACATCTCTTGCAACCCCAATAAAGTTCCTTTAATTAATATGAAAATGTGCATAATATAGGCAAAAAAGACATCAAAGGACAGAAAACAATAGGCCAAATTTTACTTTTTTCCATCTACTGATTTTATTGATAAAAGCCCTTTTAACTCTGCATGTGGGAGAGGGCAGACAGAGTTCAAATTAAAATAAACAACAGACAATGGTGGAGCTTTTTAAGCACATAAAATTTGTTTATTTACAGTACTTTAAAATAAATAAGACATAAAAGTACAAATAGCCAGAGCGTGTGATTTTTTTATCGGGCCTATTTTAGGCAAAAACCAACATGCCTTATTATTCACCTTATCTGCCCCATTCACTTAAATGTACTGGCTATTTAGAAATGTAATATACATTATGGCAACAAGAAATTAGCTGTTTGGTGTAAAAGGATTCTTAGATTTCACAGAACTTCATTTATTTTTCATGGCCTCACTATTTACAACAAGGCCAATAACTACACCAGCAAAGTGTGACAAATTAAATAATTGCAGTTACAGTCACCTTTGAATCAGAAAACTGAATGTTCCCAAATGCAAAGTATTGTAACAACCAAGCAGAAAATTGATCAGATATTTAAATCCAATATTACAACCATCATGTCTGAGTAGATCTGTAACTGGCTGCTGATTTGCTGTAAAAGATAGCACACATTAAGCAGTTCAGCACAGACATTTCAGAGCCTCGGTATCAATCTGGAACACATTCACATGTCCTGTCCCCCAATATTGGTACGCTATACATAAAAATAATTTCGGGCCTGGTCTTGCCACCATAATTCATGTGAGCAGTCTTTGCATGAGGAAGGATTTGGCCCTTCCATGGTAGAATAATTTACTTCTGTATATTCAGACAGAGATGTGATAATGTACATGTTTAAACGGTTAACTGATGAGCCTGGGCTCCATGGTTAACCTTCATGGTTACACACCAGACCCACCCCTTTCCTGCTGCTGCCTCTGTATTAGAGGCAGCAGAGCTGGGGAGGAGCAGGCAGGAGGCAGAGGTACTAGCATGGGGGGGGGGTAGATAGTCAGTACACATGGGGAGCCAGCTGAAAAGCTGGCTTCTCGTGTTTACCAGCTCCCACAGAACTCCTCCCTTCCCCTACCACATGTAAATATGTAACCGCTGAAATTTTCACCGGTTCCACATTTACCAAATCCGCCCCCCCGCATTTTAACATCCCTAATTCCCACGAAGAGATTTTGTTAATGTTGTAATGACTATAGAAACTATAGTAATTGAATTGTTGCTTATTCTTTGGTTTGATTTCAGTTTCTTTTCTCTATCCATAAGAAGTGTTTAAAATTGACCATGCTACTGTGACATTTTTTATTCTTTGTTTTATTGATGTCCCCCCTCCCCACCGCACAGATAACCCCTCTCTTACATTTTCCTGATACAAAAATATAAAACACAACTCACCATGATGATAAGCATGATATAAATACCTACATATATCCCAGTTGTGGCTGTTCTTCCTCCCAGCCACTTTCAAAATTATTGCACTTTCCTTAGGAAATACCTTTGCTATTAAATACACAAATTCTTATCATGTAATCAGAACATCATGTTCATGAACGGAAATACCTTTGCTATTAAATACACAAATTCTTGCTAAATGCACACAACTTGGGCAGTAATCAGAACATCATGTTCATGAACAAAAAGACACAAACTGAGCATTTAAAGCCAAACAGAATAATCCACTCTGATGCAATGCATTGTTGCTTATGATTGACTCTTCCTGCAACATGTCCTGTGATTCACTGAATGAAGGCCACTATATAAAAATTAATGGTATATTGGATTGCACTGAAGAGTGGAGAGCCCCAGCTGCCTGCCTTGCTGGTAAACCTCTTTAAGGGAAGGAAATAGCAGCCTTAGTGCCATTGTGTCTCTGCTTCATCATTCTACCCCTATGCTCCCAGTAACTCCTTCAGAGGACCACAGTAAAAAACAGGAAGGGAAAGGGGACAAACACATCCACCAGCCTGACTTCACACAACACCCCAAACCCTCAAATTGGAGAGAGAAAGAGAGAAGTAAGCTAGCTAAATAGATTTCCCAAGATGCAGGTTTCTTTCCTTTCAATCCCTCCCTACAATCCCCTCCCCACCCCCACCCCCCCAAAAAAATTCCTCTGCAAGCCACAACACTGTTGCAATGCCTATCCCCCAAAGTATTAGCTAAGCAGCCACTTTTGCAGGATACTATAAGTCATTCCAAACAATCAGTACATTTTATTTTTTTTTAAACACTTCACAACTCCCACCTTCCTGATTTCAAAGCAGCTTCTGTGTTCTGGATACATATTGGACTCATGTATATATATTATCTTCTGTAATTTTCACCCTCTCCTCTCCTCCCTTCCCCTCCCCTCCAACATTTCTTAGATGAAGCCAACCAGAAGAATAGTAATTTAAAAAAACAACTGCTTTGAAACAGATCTCCAGTTGTTCATTCTTAGCTGCCACCTCCCTCCCCCTGTCTTTTTTATTACTAATACCCTGGAAATACATGACAATCACCGCCTTGTAATGCGTGTTTCACGGACCCCCTCTCTCAACAGATGCTTCTTTTATCTCCAGTTTCAGGAGATAAATCCCAGGGTTTTTCGTTGTTGTGGTTTTTATTTTTATTTTATTTAATAACATAACAGTAGCTTCTCCAAATCGGTATAACTCATTCATTCCTTCAAAGAGAGGGAAAAAAGCTTAGTGCAAGTGATGCTGCACAAAAGAAAACATACCTGATCTCTTTGATGCTCTCCAGTTTGCACATGATTTCTTGCTCATCAGCCATGCTTTTCACTCCGATTTAAACCTCCCGTGATGTACCAAATGGCAGCCCCCCAAAACAAAACAAAACAAAACAAAAATCAACCCATACAATAGACACAATGTAACCACCCGCTCCAGGCATACGGACTCTGAGCCTGTGCGGTATAAGCTATGAGAACTATGGGAGTTGGAGTCCAGTTCCTTATTGCAGCCCGGGCATGTGCAAGAGGAAAGACTACAACCCCCACAAGGCAGAGCAGCGCTCTCTTACTTCTCTTCCTGCAGCCACACTTTAAATCAATTTGTCACAGCTAATTATGTCAAAGGTTGCTAGTAGTGTAAGAGAGCCGAGTCCCTCCCCCTAGGGTTGTGGGTTGTTGCCCTTTTAAACTAAACGATGCAATGACCTATAAATGACTACTGAGAGCTGGTTGGAAAATTTCATGATTTTGATGAAAAGTTAAATGTAATCACACAGAAAAAAAAACCTGCTCCAACGATTTTGAGAGCCACGCAGTTTTATATTTGACATTTTAATTGATGCTCAGTTGTCCAAAGATATGCAGAGGCACTGGTTTTTTTTCAGGATTGTGTTTCGACTCTCAGTCAATACAACTGACCATATAAATGACACAAAAGAAGAAATAAAACACAAATATAACCTTTATTGTTAAAAATTAAAATGTAAAGTGATGCTCAGGCACCATTCATCAAAGGAGCTCAAAGATATGGATGAATTAGTCTCACTCTCCTGTGTAAGACTGATCATTATTTTTGTGTGGTTCCCACAATGTGTTATCTAATGTTAGACAGTGATGAAGACATAGGGACAGATTTTCCAAACCTTAATGACATAGGTTCTTTGGACAATCTACTTCTTCATCCTGAAGAATTTATGGACAATACTCTCAGCACTAATGGGCCTAGGATTGCCAGGTGTCTGGTTTTGAACTGGACAGTCCAGTATTTGAGCTTTCTGTTCAGGAAATAAATTGAGAAAATATAAATGAGAAAATATAAACGTCCGGTATTTTCTAAATAAGTTGTAATGTAGATTGTGATGTAATATCAACTGTGTCTGGTATTTTTGTTGAAACCATCTGGCAAGCCTAAATGGACCCTTATCTGAGTATAGAAGCTCATTGGCAGGAATGGTGAATCGGGGGTGGGCCTGGGCAGGCCACAGACCAACCTTTTAGGATCCAGACACACCCGCCCCTAGTCCTGTCTCTGCTTCCGCCTGAGCACAAGGGGCTTGACCCTCTCTGCTGGTGCTCCAGCGAGTCCTGGGAGTAAGGTTAGGGGTTAGCCCTGCTGTGCTTGGGGTATGTAAGCTCCCGGACCCTGAGCCCACTCCCCAGCAGGA